TTCCATCAGCTACTGGATGAAGGTTCTAGGATGGTACATACGGCAGATATCAATCTCATTATCAGAGAAGAGCATTTAAGGTAGCCTCTCCACTATTGCTTCTATTGTTAGCTGGGTCATCCTTGTAGATCTCTGGACATTGCCCTATGACAGATTTCTCTTTAAACCTATAATGGCGCCCTCTTTTTTGGTATCCCTCTTCTTGCTCTCCTCTATTCTTCCCCTGACTCGATCTTCCTGCTCTCTCATGTCTTCCTCTCCCCTTCTCTTTCTCCTAACTTCCTTTCCCTTCCCTGCCCCCCACCCATGCTCCCAATAAGTTCAGGAGATCTTGTCCCTTTCGCCTTCTCCGGGGGACCCTGTATGTCTCTCATAGGGTACTCCTTGTTTCCTAGCTTCTCTGGTTGTGGATTTTAGGCTGGTTCTACGTTGCTCTATGTCTAAAATCCATATATGAGTGAGTACATACCATGTTTGTCTTTCGTGACTGGGTTACCTACCTCAGGATGATTTCTTCCACCCATTTGCCTGTGAATTTCATGATTCCATTTTTTTTCAACTTAGTAGTACTTCCTTGTGTAGACATACCACATTTTCTTCATCCATTTTTCAGTGGAGGGGCATCTAGACTGCTTCCAGGTTCTGGCTAATACAAATAATGCTATGAACATGGCTGAACAGATATCCTTGTTTTATGAATATGCCTAAGAGTGGAATTGCTGGATCTTGTAGTAGACTGATTCCCATTTTCCTGAAGATGGACTTATCACATTTTAAGACTTTTGTAGCTTAATGTGTTTAGTTGATAAGACTATGCAGCATATGCATAGTGGGCCCCCTGCTATGTGTTAAAGTGGAAATTAGAAGGAATATGGAGGTATTCAAGACAAATGAGAGTCAAAGAAGTAAAAATGCCAGCCCCTTTGCTGAAGTAAATATTTTGCCCCTCCAGTTGGATAAGAGTTCTGCAGAGATGGAGGAGTTCATCCTGATGAAGCAGCAGCTTCAAGAAAAGGAAGAACTCATTAACACTCTGCAAACCCAGCTCAGCCAGACACAGGCAGAGCAAGCAGCACAGGTAAGATGATGTTGGTGTCCCCATTAGGATAAAGTCCACAGCAAAAAGTCATTCAAAGTGAATCAACTTGTGGACATCAACTGTATGCACTGGTCAATACACACCACCTTAGCAAAATCTCACTTGAGAGGCTACAGAGATGGTGTTAAGAGCACTGCTCTTGTAGGTGACCCAAGCTAGGTTCCCAGCACCAGCATCAGGTGGCTCATAACCACCTGTAATTTCAGTTCCGGATGCCTTTTGGCCTCAACAGGTACCTGCATACATATGATGCCAATAAACTCATTCAGGCACATACACATACATATAAACTTAAAAACCATGTTTCAAAAAATCTCATCTGATATAACAGAGAAAAAGTCACATAGTCAGACAAAAGAATTGTATATAATGAAAAAAATTTATAATTCAGCCTTAAATTTCAGTTAAATAATTTAAAATGAAATACTTATTTTGGAGGCATCATATTTTTGTAATTTAAACTAGAATCAAGCTTGTTTTGCATGTCAATCCCAGTTTCCTCTTCTTCCCCACCTTCCCTGCCACATACTGGCCTCCTAACCCATCCCCGTTCTGCTCCCCAGGGAGGGTGAGGCCTTCCATGGGGGATCTTCAGTGTCTATCATATCATTTGGAGCAGGGCCTGTACCCTCCCCTGTGTGTCTAGGCTGAGAGAGTATCCCTCTATGGGGAGTGGGCTCCCAAAGTCCATTCGTATACTAGGGATAAATAATGATCCACTACCAGAGGCCCCATAGACTTCCCAGCCCTCCTAACTGACACCCATGTTCAGAGGTCCTGGGTCAGTTCTATGCTGGTTTCCCAGCTATCAGTCGAGGTCCATGAGCTCCACCTTGTTCAGGTCAGCTGTTTCTGTAGGTTCCTCCAGCCTGGTCTTGACCCCTCTGCTCATCACTCCTCCCTCTCTGCAACTGGATTCCAGAGTTTAACTCAGTGTTTAGCTGTGGGTATCTGCTTCTACTTCCATCAGCTACTGGATGAAGGTTCTAGGATGGTACATACGGCAGATATCAATCTCATTATCAGAGAAGAGCATTTAAGGTAGCCTCTCCACTATTGCTTCTATTGTTAGCTGGGTCATCCTTGTAGATCTCTGGACATTGCCCTATGACAGATTTCTCTTTAAACCTATAATGGCGCCCTCTTTTTTGGTATCCCTCTTCTTGCTCTCCTCTATTCTTCCCCTGACTCGATCTTCCTGCTCTCTCATGTCTTCCTCTCCCCTTCTCTTTCTCCTAACTTCCTTTCCCTTCCCTGCCCCCCACCCATGCTCCCAATAAGTTCAGGAGATCTTGTCCCTTTCGCCTTCTCCGGGGGACCCTGTATGTCTCTCATAGGGTACTCCTTGTTTCCTAGCTTCTCTGGTTGTGGATTTTAGGCTGGTTCTACGTTGCTCTATGTCTAAAATCCATATATGAGTGAGTACATACCATGTTTGTCTTTCGTGACTGGGTTACCTACCTCAGGATGATTTCTTCCACCCATTTGCCTGTGAATTTCATGATTCCATTTTTTTTCAACTTAGTAGTACTTCCTTGTGTAGACATACCACATTTTCTTCATCCATTTTTCAGTGGAGGGGCATCTAGACTGCTTCCAGGTTCTGGCTAATACAAATAATGCTATGAACATGGCTGAACAGATATCCTTGTTTTATGAATATGCCTAAGAGTGGAATTGCTGGATCTTGTAGTAGACTGATTCCCATTTTCCTGAAGATGGACTTATCACATTTTAAGACTTTTGTAGCTTAATGTGTTTAGTTGATAAGACTATGCAGCATATGCATAGTGGGCCCCCTGCTATGTGTTAAAGTGGAAATTAGAAGGAATATGGAGGTATTCAAGACAAATGAGAGTCAAAGAAGTAAAAATGCCAGCCCCTTTGCTGAAGTAAATATTTTGCCCCTCCAGTTGGATAAGAGTTCTGCAGAGATGGAGGAGTTCATCCTGATGAAGCAGCAGCTTCAAGAAAAGGAAGAACTCATTAACACTCTGCAAACCCAGCTCAGCCAGACACAGGCAGAGCAAGCAGCACAGGTAAGATGATGTTGGTGTCCCCATTAGGATAAAGTCCACAGCAAAAAGTCATTCAAAGTGAATCAACTTGTGGACATCAACTGTATGCACTGGTCAATACACACCACCTTAGCAAAATCTCACTTGAGAGGCTACAGAGATGGTGTTAAGAGCACTGCTCTTGTAGGTGACCCAAGCTAGGTTCCCAGCACCAGCATCAGGTGGCTCATAACCACCTGTAATTTCAGTTCCGGATGCCTTTTGGCCTCAACAGGTACCTGCATACATATGATGCCAATAAACTCATTCAGGCACATACACATACATATAAACTTAAAAACCATGTTTCAAAAAATCTCATCTGATATAACAGAGAAAAAGTCACATAGTCAGACAAAAGAATTGTATATAATGAAAAAAATTTATAATTCAGCCTTAAATTTCAGTTAAATAATTTAAAATGAAATACTTATTTTGGAGGCATCATATTTTTGTAATTTAAACTAGAATCAAGCTTGTTTTGCATGTCAATCCCAGTTTCCTCTTCTTCCCCACCTTCCCTGCCACATACTGGCCTCCTAACCCATCCCCGTTCTGCTCCCCAGGGAGGGTGAGGCCTTCCATGGGGGATCTTCAGTGTCTATCATATCATTTGGAGCAGGGCCTGTACCCTCCCCTGTGTGTCTAGGCTGAGAGAGTATCCCTCTATGGGGAGTGGGCTCCCAAAGTCCATTCGTATACTAGGGATAAATAATGATCCACTACCAGAGGCCCCATAGACTTCCCAGCCCTCCTAACTGACACCCATGTTCAGAGGTCCTGGGTCAGTTCTATGCTGGTTTCCCAGCTATCAGTCGAGGTCCATGAGCTCCACCTTGTTCAGGTCAGCTGTTTCTGTAGGTTCCTCCAGCCTGGTCTTGACCCCTCTGCTCATCACTCCTCCCTCTCTGCAACTGGATTCCAGAGTTTAACTCAGTGTTTAGCTGTGGGTATCTGCTTCTACTTCCATCAGCTACTGGATGAAGGTTCTAGGATGGTACATACGGCAGATATCAATCTCATTATCAGAGAAGAGCATTTAAGGTAGCCTCTCCACTATTGCTTCTATTGTTAGCTGGGTCATCCTTGTAGATCTCTGGACATTGCCCTATGACAGATTTCTCTTTAAACCTATAATGGCGCCCTCTTTTTTGGTATCCCTCTTCTTGCTCTCCTCTATTCTTCCCCTGACTCGATCTTCCTGCTCTCTCATGTCTTCCTCTCCCCTTCTCTTTCTCCTAACTTCCTTTCCCTTCCCTGCCCCCCACCCATGCTCCCAATAAGTTCAGGAGATCTTGTCCCTTTCGCCTTCTCCGGGGGACCCTGTATGTCTCTCATAGGGTACTCCTTGTTTCCTAGCTTCTCTGGTTGTGGATTTTAGGCTGGTTCTACGTTGCTCTATGTCTAAAATCCATATATGAGTGAGTACATACCATGTTTGTCTTTCGTGACTGGGTTACCTACCTCAGGATGATTTCTTCCACCCATTTGCCTGTGAATTTCATGATTCCATTTTTTTCAACTTAGTAGTACTTCCTTGTGTAGACATACCACATTTTCTTCATCCATTTTTCAGTGGAGGGGCATCTAGACTGCTTCCAGGTTCTGGCTAATACAAATAATGCTATGAACATGGCTGAACAGATATCCTTGTTTTATGAATATGCCTAAGAGTGGAATTGCTGGATCTTGTAGTAGACTGATTCCCATTTTCCTGAAGATGGACTTATCACATTTTAAGACTTTTGTAGCTTAATGTGTTTAGTTGATAAGACTATGCAGCATATGCATAGTGGGCCCCCTGCTATGTGTTAAAGTGGAAATTAGAAGGAATATGGAGGTATTCAAGACAAATGAGAGTCAAAGAAGTAAAAATGCCAGCCCCTTTGCTGAAGTAAATATTTTGCCCCTCCAGTTGGATAAGAGTTCTGCAGAGATGGAGGAGTTCATCCTGATGAAGCAGCAGCTTCAAGAAAAGGAAGAACTCATTAACACTCTGCAAACCCAGCTCAGCCAGACACAGGCAGAGCAAGCAGCACAGGTAAGATGATGTTGGTGTCCCCATTAGGATAAAGTCCACAGCAAAAGGTCATTCAAAGTGAATCAACTTGTGGACATCAACTGTATGCACTGGTCAATACACACCACCTTAGCAAAATCTCACTTGAGAGGCTACAGAGATGGTGTTAAGAGCACTGCTCTTGTAGGTGACCCAAGCTAGGTTCCCAGCACCAGCATCAGGTGGCTCATAACCACCTGTAATTTCAGTTCCGGATGCCTTTTGGCCTCAACAGGTACCTGCATACATATGATGCCAATAAACTCATTCAGGCACATACACATACATATAAACTTAAAAACCATGTTTCAAAAAATCTCATCTGATATAACAGAGAAAAAGTCACATAGTCAGACAAAAGAATTGTATATAATGAAAAAAATTTATAATTCAGCCTTAAATTTCAGTTAAATAATTTAAAATGAAATACTTATTTTGGAGGCATCATATTTTTGTAATTTAAACTAGAATCAAGCTTGTTTTGCATGTCAATCCCAGTTTCCTCTTCTTCCCCACCTTCCCTGCCACATACTGGCCTCCTAACCCATCCCCGTTCTGCTCCCCAGGGAGGGTGAGGCCTTCCATGGGGGATCTTCAGTGTCTATCATATCATTTGGAGCAGGGCCTGTACCCTCCCTGTGTGTCTAGGCTGAGAGAGTATCCCTCTATGGGGAGTGGGCTCCCAAAGTCCATTCGTATACTAGGGATAAATAATGATCCACTACCAGAGGCCCCATAGACTTCCCAGCCCTCCTAACTGACACCCATGTTCAGAGGTCCTGGGTCAGTTCTATGCTGGTTTCCCAGCTATCAGTCGAGGTCCATGAGTTCCACCTTGTTCAGGTCAGCTGTTTCTGTAGGTTCCTCCAGCCTGGTCTTGACCCCTCTGCTCATCACTCCTCCCTCTCTGCAACTGGATTCCAGAGTTTAACTCAGTGTTTAGCTGTGGGTATCTGCTTCTA